CCTTTTGGGTGAATTTCCGCTTTAAGCTGTAAACGCAATCACAATTCTAATTTCCCATGTCTTTATTGAACACACCCATTCACAGTTCTGGAGGAAAAAGTAAGTGAACCCTTGGAGTTAATAGCTGGTTGAACCTCTGTTGGCAGCAATGACTTCCAGCAAGAGCTTTGAATCAGACCCACACAACATTCAAGAGGAATTTTTAACCATTCCACTTTCCAAAGCTGCTTCAGCTCAGATATATTTGTAGGATATCTGATGTGAAGAGCTCTCTTGGGATCGTTCCACAGTATCTCTATAAAATTAAGGTTTTATTTTCTGAAGCCAGTCAGTGGTGCATTTACACCGATGTTTAGGGTCTGCTGCATCACCTAACTTCTACTAGGCTTCAGCTGGTTAACAGCAACCCTGACATTATCCTGCAGGATATTTTGGTAAACCTGGGAATAAATTACACCCCCCCCCCATCCCGATGATGGCAAGTGGTTCAGGCCCTAAGTCAGCAAAGCAAGCCCACATCATGATGTTCCCTCTGCCATACCTCACCATTGGAATTATATTTTGATGTTGGTAAGCTGTGATCTTTTTGCTGAGTATTCTTCCTGAACAATTCAACTTTTTTTTCATCGGTCCAATCAAATATTGTCCCAGTAGCATTGTGGTTTGCCAAAGTGCTCTTTGGCAAATCTCAGCTGCCCAGCTACAGTATGTTTTATTTGGAGAGCTGTGGCTTCCTCCATGCAGGTCTGCCAAGAACATCCTGCCTGTTAAAAGACATATATATGGTAGACTCATGAACAGGGATGTTTGCTGATTCCAGTGATGTCTTCAAGCCTATAGCTGTCACTCATGGGTTCTCTTTACCTCACTGGGGATTCTCAATTGTGCCTTGGGAGTCATCTTAGCTGGGTGCCCACTTCTAGGAAGAGTAGCCACAGCACTAAACTGTCTCCATTATAGACAATTTGTCCAACTGTCAACTGATGGATGCCTAAACACTTTGAGATTGCTTTGCATCCATTTCCAGCCTTATGCAGATCAACTACTCTAAGGCATGGTTTCCCATCAGCCGATGCTTTATATGAACTGCAATCCTAAAATGTTTGAGTGTCTTACAGAAGTAGCTCTAAACCACATCTCCAAACGCATTCCATTAACCGCTTAAGGACTGCCCTATAGCAAATATACTGCTACAGGGCAGCACATGTGCGCAGAATCATGTATATATATGTGATTTTGCATTTCCGGGTAGGGGACCCGTGCTGCCATTCGCAGCTGCATATGTCAATCACCGGGTCCCGACCGTTAATTGCCCGTCGGCGCCCAGTGATTACCAAGCATCTAGGAGAGGGAGGAAGATTGTTTTGTTTACAAACAATCTTCCTCTCTTTCAGCTCGAGCACACTGCTCGGGATGGCTGTGCACAGTACAGCCATCCCGATCAGTGTGCTTACAGTGAAGCACACCCCCCCGCCCCCTAGTAAAACACTCCCAGCACACAGTTAACCCTTTGATTGCCCCTCACATTAACCCCTTCCTGCCCAGTTCCATTAGTACAGTGTCAGTGGGGGTTTTTTTATCACTGATCACTGTATTGGTGTCACTGGGGTGTCAGTGACACCGAGTTAGTTACCCCCCCAGTGTCAGAATGTCCGCCGCAGCCCCACAGTCCCACTAAAAGTCGCTGATCGCCGCCATTACTAGTAGAAAAAAAATCCTATTATCTATACCGCCATTTGTAAACGCTATAACTTTCATGTAAACCAATTAATTTACACGTATTATGATTTTTTTTTTTTTAGCAAAGACGTGTTGCAGAATATATTTTAGCCTAAATTAATGACTAAATTTGATTTTTAATTTAATTGATGATTCAATTTTTTTTTACTGGACATGTTTAACCTCCCTAGCGGTCTGATTATGTCCATATTTCTGTGCTCAAAGCGGTACATTTTTTTGCATGGAAATATGTATTTTTTTTATTGTAGGCCTGTAATTTTTTAGGAATAACTCACTGAAATCTGTCCGAACAAGAGTCTAGTAAACATCCCGGGTATGTTAAAATTTGAAACACGAAATCATAAATTATAATTTAATAAATAATCATAAAAAATAATAATATAATAATAATAAATTTAATTCAATAATATAATCAAACCAAAAACACTGAAATTTGAAATATAGCGCCAAGTTCGCACATCACTGAGCAAAGTCGCAAAATCAATTTCAGTGTCTGATGACAAATTTCCCCACCAATCATTATCACTCAATTCTGCAAGTAGTTCTGATTTACTATCGCTGTTCTCTAGCTGGTCTAAAACTGATTTTGACCTAAAGGGACGCTTTTTGGATGCCATGGACTTTTCTAAGTTTCCAGGCAGAAAGAACAGTAAAAATGCAGGCAGGGCGCAGGACAAAGCACTCGGGACAATGTATGTGAAATGGTTTGATACAGCAATGTTATACTATGTGAGTTTAGTGATTTTAGTGAATGTCAATTTTTGTCATTTTCAAATTTCCCGCCATTCCATCCCCGTAAGTCCCGACACTTGCATGGGACGGAACCCAGAGGACAGATGCCAGCATCCACCGGATTACATTGTCGGGGACACTGCAGGAGGGACATCGTGGGAGCGCAGAACAAGGTAAGTGATCGAGGGATTGCGGAGCAGCGCCGCATGGTAAGCCCAAGTGTAGCTCGGGGTTACCGCTTCTGGTACTGAAACTTTACCCCGAGCTACACTCCGGAATACCTCCAGGGAGGTTAATAGCAAAAGGTTCAAAATATTGTTGTTGTTTTTTTAAATTGTTGGTCTTTTTTTACTTATAGCGCAAAAAATAAAAATGCACAGGTGATCAAATACCACCAAAAGAAAGCTCAATTTTTGGGAAAAAGGACATAAATTTCATTTGGGTGCAGCATTGCATGACCGTGCAATTGTCAGTTAAAGTAACGCAGCGCCATAACACAAAAAATGGGCCTGGTCATGAAAGGGGGGTAAATCCTCAGGAGGGCAAGTGGTTAATTGGACTCTAGGTATGCAAACTACTGCCTCCAATTAGCTTTCATGGAAGTAATTCATCTATGGGTTCACTTACTTTTATCTCTAGCACTGTGCATTCAAATAACTGCTTCAGCCCCAGAAGTTTTTCCCCGCTTCCTGACCAGGCCATTTTTTGCTATTCGTCACTGAGCTATTTCAACTGGTAATTGCATGGTCATGCAAAACTGTATCAAAACGAAGATTATGTACTTTTTTCCAAACAAATAGAGATTTATTTTGATGGTAGTTGATCACCACTGGGTTTTTTTATTTTTTGTGATGTAAATAAAAAAAGACCAAACATTTTGAAAGAAAACCCCAATATTTTTCAACTTTCTGATATAAAAAATATCCAATAAACTAAAATTTAGTCATAGCTTTAGAGAAAAATGTATTCTGCTACATGTCTTTGGTAAAAATAAAATCCCAATACGTGTATATTAATTAAGTTATAGCGTTTACAAACTATGGTATATATATATGGAATTTACGCAGCTTTTACTTTATGACTACCTATCACATTTCACGCATCCCCCAAATTACCCCTTTTAGGAAAAAAGACACCCCAAGGAATTTACTGACTGGCATGTTGAATCCATGTAAGATTTTATTTTTTGCCACAAATTTTGGGAAAATTACAAAGTTGTAATTTAAATATAAATTGCTCACATATGCCATGGGTATATGTGGAAAAACACAACAGAACACATTCTGCTACTTCTCCCGAGTATGGGGATACCACATGTGAGAGCCTTTTTGGCAGCCTAGCCACATACAGGCCCCCAAAAAATAAAGATCACCTTCAGTCCTTCAAACAGCATATTTCTTCATGTCACTTCCTCACAACCTATCACAGTTTTGGAGGCCCTAAAATGGCAGCATAGTACAAACACCCCCCACCCCTTCTCCCAATTACCCCTTTTTGGAAAGTATACACCCAAGGAATTTGATAAGAGGCATAGTGAGTATTTTGCAGATATTTATTGAAAAAGAAAAGACATTTTTGTTTTCTGGCTTCATTTTCCCAAAACTTGTGGCAACAAATGAGATCTGCAAAATACTCACCATGCCCCTTAGCAAATGCTTTGGAGTATCTGCTCTCCAAAAGGGGGTCATTTGGAGGGGGGGTGCTTCTACTATCCTGGCATTTCAAGGTCAACATTAGAAGCTTATGCCACACATCACCCATTCTTCTAACCACTTGAAGACCAAGCCTTTTCTGACACTTTTTGTTTACATAAAAAAATGTTTTTTTGTTAGAAAATTATTTTGAACGCCCAAACATTTTTTTAAAGCAGAGGCCCTAGAGAATAAAACAGTGGGTGTTCCATTTTTTTATGTCACACAGTATTTGCACAGTGATTTTTCAATTTAAAATAAAAAAAAAAACAAATACACTTTTTTGAATTTTAATGTACAAAAACACAGCAACATTTCCCAATTGTTTGATAAAATATAAAAGATGATATTACACCGAGTAAATAGATACCAAACATGACATGCTTTAAAACTGCATGCTTTAACCATTTGCCCTCTTGAGGATTTACCCCCCCTTCCTGACCAGGCCAATTTTTGCGTTATGGAGCTGTGTTAATTAAACTGACAATTGCGCGGTCATGCAACGCTACACCCAAATTCAATTTACGTCCTTTTTTTTCCCAAAAAATTTAGCTTTCTTTCTGTGGTATTTGATTGCATGTGCGTTTTTTATTTTTTGCGCTATTAAAAACTATATTTTTTACTTTTTATTATTAAACATGTCCAGTAAAAAAATAAAAAAAAATCTAATTTCATCATAAATTTAGGCCAAAATGTATTCTGCTACATGTCTTTTCTAAAAAAAAAAAAAATATCCCAATACGTGTACTGTAGTGGGCATTTTGACACTGAGGGGAACTGACTTGGTGTCACTGACATCCCCAGTGACATCGATACATTGATCAGTGCTAAAAAAAAGTATTGACACTGTACTAATGGCACTGGACAGGAGGGGTTAACATGAGGGGTGATCAAGGCAAGGATTTTTTTTTTTTTCTTTTTCACACTTTGCATTGCAGATGCAACAAAGGTCACTGTACCTGCAATCCACTGCTTGCTTTGAACTGTCATGAATGGGTTTGGTTCATGACCAGGGGCGGACTGACCATTTTAGCACTCGGGCACTGCCCAAGGGCCTGGGGTCAGTAGGGGGCCCCATGAAATGCCCCTGGTACTTTTTTTATAGGCTTTTTTGAGTGTGGGCAAGGACACAGGGGCCCCATGATCCCCTATTGCCTGGGGGGCCCTATGAGTTGTCAGTCCACCCCTGTTCATGACAGTTCAAAATACTATTGATCTGTGACTGGCTACAGCTAAGCACATGGTACAGGGCTTGATGATATGCCCATGTGCCATGTGAGAGCTGTGGGCCAATCACAGCTGACTAGGAAGAGAAGCAAAGCTGTTATAAATTATCAGGTCCCAATTACCCGGATCTGCATTTCGCTGTGTTAGTGGGTGGTCCACAAGTGGATAAAGACAGAACAAATTAGAATATTGTGTTTGTCTATTGTTGTGTCTTAGATGAGGATCACTATACAGTATAAATGCTGTATACAGTATATACATTTTGTTTTAGTTTAAACTACATGATTAAAAATTTACTGTAAAATAAAGATTTGATGGAAATAGTTAAAAAAAAATATTAAATGTCAGTTAGAAAAAACATATGACCCTAAGGGCTCGTTCACACTAGGCTGTTTTGCCAACGCTTGCCAAACGCCCCTATAGCGTTTGGCAAGCGTTGGTCCGGTGTTTGCGGAGCGTTTTTAACGCTCGGCAAACGCTCCGCAAACGCCGCATGCGCGGTTTAGCGGCGGTTGCTAGGCGTTTGCCGAGCGTTAATAACGCCCCACAAACGCCTATAATGCATTTGAGTGGTGTTACCGCTCCGCAAACACCCCGCAACCGCGTCGCAACCGCACTGCAAAACGCCGGCCGGGCGTTTGCGGAGCGGCACCATAGACGAGAATAGGAGGCTTCAAAGCCTCCTGACTCGACCAGAGGCGTCCGTTTTGCCGCGACGCGACGCAAACGCTCCTGTTAGAACAGCACCATGTGCTGTAATGTGCAGAATTGGCAGAGGCGTTTGGGAAGCGGTAAAAACGCTTCCCAAACGCCTCTCTGCCGCCTGCACACAAGGCTAGTGTGAACGTAGCCTAAAAGTAAAAAAAAAAAAAAAAAATGTTGTATGGTTTGTCCCTTAGCCCTGTAAGTTCCCCTTTTGCTGAATAGCTTGGTCTACATGTATATGTGGAAAAAAATATAAATAAAGGTACAAAGAATAAAAAAAAAAGTTCATATAATGAATGCCCAGGCATTTGGTTACCACAATATTACTCGCTATAGTATCCCCTTAATATTTACTAACGATTATGTGGTGTCAGGGCCTACAGATACAGATTGAACGCATTGTTTAATTAGATATTTACACTAAAAGGGTTCATATCCTCCAAATGTAATGTTTTTGGTCAGCTTTGGATTTAATGTTCCTTTGAGTAGGGCTCTTATTTCTACTATTGCATGTTTTTATTTATGCTTTAAGGTCACAGTAAAGCCCCGTTATGTCGCTGTATAGGACGTTGGTTCTATATAAATCAATAATTATGTAGAAAGGGGGGACCCTATAGGAGCAAAGCAGTAATAGCCCCAGGCTTTACAAAAGGCAAACATTATTTGAGATTTCAGTTCCTATTACTAGCCTGTGCACTGGTACAATGGAACGTTTTGTCATATGTCATATTCTTTAGATCTTTTACAAGGCATTGTACAGAATGGGCATTTTGATAGAGGAAGATGAAAGAAAGGCAAGACTCTAATCTGCCTTTCACTGCCTTTCACTGAGACAGAACTCCAGAGGTGGTGTCTTCAAATAGAGAAACGTCGAAAAAGGACACGCCATATTACTTCTCTTCCTATGATAGGAAACTCAAATGTATGTCTAAAACCCAGGGATTTCCACCGCTACAATGTTATTATATGGCAAAAGTGGTTTTACAAGCCAGATTTAAAAAAAATGCCCCAAAAAAGCCGGTGAAAGGATAGATCAAAATGCGTCGTTTATTTTAGAAGAGTGAGCCGCTGCTTTGTTATTTAAAGGGGCTGAAAATACAGTGTCCATTACTGAGCTGGGATCAGCTGAAGGTGCCTGAAAATCGCCAAATGACAAGGGAAATTTCCATTCCAATGGGAGCGATGGAGATAACATGATGAATAGGGATCTATCAAGACTGCGACTGAATCATTAAGGTATATATAAAAAAAAAGAAACACGCAAAAAAAAAAAATGATTGATTCAGGCAGAGAGAAATAAAAGTGAGTGGTTACAAAATGCACTGCTATTTCAGTACTAAAAAATGTCAAAAAAATAAATACTTAAAATATATCTACACCCATGAATAAAAAAAATCATATATTGCAACGTACACATCTTTAGATCTGGTGGCAGCATTGGTTTTCTTTTTTTTTTTCATGCCTATAACATTTTCTGATTGTACAGAGCAATACCTGTTGATGCTGGCAGAAATATTGTGTCCTGGTGGCTTCCTGGGAACTGAACTGGTACCTCAAACAATGTTATCAGCCTTCTCAGCTATCATCTGGGAGCTTTAAAGCAAATTCCCCCTCTATGTAATGGAAAAGAGTAGAAGGGGAAAAGTTTGTAGTCCAAAATCAGGAGAGAACCTAAGGAGACAATGCTGCTTCTTAATGGATACTTTGCAGTTAGGGAACGTTGCCCCCAGGGAGAGGAAGTATCTTAATGGCAGGATCATCAGCCAAAAAGTAAATTCAAGCATCCAACACATTGTCAGTACTATATCATAAAAAACACAGCACAGCAAAAAAATATTATTAACATAAAGTCCACAATCTTAAATGTATCCGTGCTTGGGTGCTCCAATGAAGAAATATGTGTAAAAGAAGAGAAAGTCCAAAAAAATTATATCCCGTTCCTTTAAGACAAAAATTATTTCACCACATAGTGCTCAGTGGACCCTCCCTTGCAGGGGCGGACTGACAACTCATGGGGCCCCTGGGCAATAGGGGATCATGGGGCCCCTGTGTCCTTGCCCAAACTCAAAAAAGCCTATGAAAAAGGTACCAGGGGCATCTCATGGGGCCCCCTACTGACCCCGGGCCCTCGGGCAGTGCCCGAGTTTCCAAATGGTCAGTCCGCCCCAGCTCCCTTGTGTTTTCCATGCTCACCAGATATGATGGACTCCTAGCTTTTTGGGCTTAAGAGTCAAAAGCGCTTATTTCTGGTGGAATGTGTTCACAGAGATATCCAGGATTCAATAGAGTGCCAAAACCACATGGAAGGAAAATATATTTGAAATATATTTTAAAAATATTCCTCCCAAATATATTGCCATATAATAGCTACAATTTTGGCCATACTCAATATATTTAAAAATATATGTCAATATATATATATAATATATATATTGCATGTTGAAGTGCGTTTTTATTACAAAATGTATGAAAAATATTTTAAAAATAATTTTTTTAAATATATTCTTCATATTTTTTTAACATATAAAAAAGTCATTTTAACATATATTTTTACATATATTTGTAAATGCATTCCAAAAATGTAGATTTGTATTTTTAAAGACACACAGTATATTTGAAATGTATTTTAAAAATATTCCTCCCAAATATATTGCCATATATTTGCTACAATTTTGGCCATACTCAATATATTTCAAAATATATGTATATATATATTGCATGTTGAAGTGTGTTTTTATTACAAAATATCTGAAAAATATTTTAAAAATTATTTTTTTTAATATATTCTTCAGATTTTTTTAACATATAAAAAAGTCATTTTAACATATATTTTTACATATATTTGTAAATGCATTCCAAAAATGTAGATTTGTATTTAAAGACACACAGTATATTTGAAATGTATTTTTAAAACAAATTTTCATATATTTTGTAATAAAAATGCATTTCAACATGCAATATATATATATATATATTTATATTTATTTATTTATTGAAATATATTTTTTTAAATATAATGAATATGGCCAAAATTTCAAATATATGGCAATATATTTGGGAAGAATATTTTTATAATATATTTCAAATATATTTTCTTCCATATGGGAACCCATGGTTATGAAGTGTAGGTGCAATTCATCAATATGTTCCATAATTCACCATGCGAGCAAAAGAGGGAAGCAGAAAGGACGCTAATAGTGTAACACTGTTGGGTTAATTTATTCCATTTGAAAGAGCAATACATATTACACTCACATTTGATCAACAATACATAAGCCTTATGATCATAATCCTTACTTAGCCACAAAGGGTATAAAGCGGTAACAAAGATGGCTCTGGAGCGCCGCTAGCTCGCGTGTGCTCCACTCACCGGACGTAACATCACACAAAACCACCGGAAATTGCGTCAACGCGTTTTGCCCCTCCTCCAGTGTGTCCTCACAGACATGGACTTTATGTTAATAATATGTTTTTGTTGCGCTGTGTTTATTATGATATATCATGTGTTGGTGTTTTTGTACTTTCTGAACAGCAGCATTGTTTAGTAGAATTTGATTTATCACATATTGTTTTCACACATAGTAGCTCGGGTGATTTGTTGTATTTTACATTGTAAGTACTAATAGGATGAATTCCTGCCTTCAAGGCTTTTCCAAAGCCTCTCCTATCCTCTGGGAACTTCCTTCCCCTATCCCCTACTCTGTCTGTCTTTAGATAACCCCTGAAAACTCATCTCTTCAGGGAAGCCTATCTCACTTCCACCTAAAAACTAAACTTTTACATTCTCCATCAGCTCATCCCCCACAGTTAATGCCTTTTGTATCACTTGCCCCTCCCTCTTAGACTGTAAGCTCTCATGGGCAGAGTCCTTCCTAACCCTCCTGTATTGTAATGTAACGGCACTGTCTCCCTTTATTTTGTAAAGCACTGTGCAAACTGTTGGTGCAATATAAATCCTGTATTATAATGATATTCATTTTTAAAAATACAATTATGTTTTTTGGATTTATTGTGGACTGAATTGAAATATTCTTTGTTCTTTGGCAGCTGGCACTAAAACAGATGTCCCCACTGAGAGATTTTCAATCTATTCCACTTATAGTTGCAACTGTAACATTTTTGGTTTCCTATCCCTTTCTGTTTCAGTGACAAATTAATCAGGGCTAATTAAAAGAGTTATTTTCCCCAGCAGGAACATGGACAGCTATAAAAAAAATATGGCAGGGGTCCCAGCCCTTCCCTCCATCATAACTAAAAGAGTTTTGGCCTTAGATACACTTTTAAATAAAATTAGTTACAGGTCGGGGGAAATAAAATTAAAGTTTTACAAGCAAGATAAAAAATGCATAAAAACATTACAAACATGTTATATTTGCTTGCTCTGTACAATGGTTTTGCACAGAGCAGCCCCGATCGTCCTCTTCCTGGGTCCCGTGCCGTTACTCCTGGCTCCTTCCTCCAACTGAGTGCCCCCAGAGTAAGCTGCTTGCCCCATGGGCACTCATGTGTGCTTGCTCCTGAGCCTACTCTTTGTGTCCATTAGCGTCTGCTCTTCCAGGTCTCTCCCTCTTCACTGGCTGTGACTGACAGCAGCGGGAGCTGTGTCTCAGCCAATGAGGAGGCAGAGACCTGGGAGAGCAGAGGCTCTCGTGCACAGTGCTGGATCTTGATCGGGCTTGGGTATGTATTGGGGGGTGCTGCAGTGGAATCTGCATACTGAAGGTTTTTAACTTTCATGCATATAATAATAACATTCAGTCCTTAGAACCACTTTAACTACAAGCATACTCTGATGCAAGAGGAATAGCAGCAGCACACAGTCACTGGGATCTCACACTCCGGTCTGTACTCACACGTGTCCCTGGATAGTTGAATGCCTCTTTTCAATATCAGCCAGACATTTCTCCCATGATCTCTTCAGACCAGATTCCCAAAAAGAAATCCCTCGATGAGATCCAGCAACGTTCATCAGAAAAAGCCCCCCAGCTAGCACAGCTGAGACCTCAATGAGCAAATGAAGAAGCACAGCCAGGCTGCCCAGAAGAGAACCACTGGGATCTCCCCCTCCTTAACAAGACCCCCCTGCTACACGCCTTTGACTATTTATGTTCCCTCCCAGCCACCTACTGGGCACCCTCCCCCAGGTATCAGTTTGGACTACATAAATATTAACACTGTAAATTTAATTCTTCCTAGCCCACTATCTTCTAGAACAGGGGTGGGCAACTGTGGCCCTCCAGCTGTTGTAGAACTACAAGTCCCATGAGGCATTGCAAAACCGACAGTTACAAGCATGACTCCCAAAGGCAGAGGCATGATGGGACTTGTAGTTCACCAACAGCCGGAGGTCCACAGTTGCCCACCCCTGTACTAGAACCATCCAGAAGGCAAGGGGAAGCAGTCAAACCCACAGCCTGTGAACAGACCAGAGTAATCACAAACTGCTCCATGGATTACAGACAAACTAAAATTTACCTAACCAACCTAGCATGTGACAGGTTCCAGAAGACTACAGGACCATTCATGAAGCGCAGCGCTACTCACGCATGCACAGTGGGCACCTGGCTGTGAAGCCGCAAGCTATCACAACCGGGTGCCCACACTGAAGATGCCGGCCTCCTGGAATACAGGACAGCCGGTGAAACGGGCTGCAGGGAACACACCACGGAACCGAGGGACAGGTAAGTGGCTGTTTTTTAAAAGTCAGCAGCTACAGTTTTTGCAGCTGCTGAGTTTTATTTTTTGACAGGGTGCATTGGCACATATAAAAAATATAATGTAAAGGAAGTCTTATGCAGGCCATAGACGGGTCATTTATCTGCTGAATTTTCTTCCGAACGAAAAATCGGCTGATATTCACACCGTTAGTGGGGCAGTGCCATCGGCCGTTTTTCATGGATCTTCTTGTTTCTTTTTATCGGTCACGCTGGAAAATCCACGCAGAAAGGCCGTTTTTTGTGAGCATTGGTGGCAGCATCCATGGCAGCAACGACCGATTTATCGTTTATCGGCCGACAATTCGGTCGATAAACGGCCTGTCTATGGCCAGCCTTATCCCAATCTAGCTGTACAAGTGCTATTACACTCTAAGTGGTCAATTCACTAAATGATTTTACATGCAATACCAAGGTCACATGACCTTTCTTTTTTTTTTTTTTTCAGAAATATCAAATGAGATAATAAAAGAGTCAATTCCTCAAAGTAAAATATCGAATGATGGTAAATACTGCACAAAAAAGATAAATCATTACAGTCAATTCACTAAAGAAAGTTTTGGCTCTGCAATAAATGTATTTCTTTTATTTATTACAGATACTTACATAGCGCTGTCAATTTACGCAGTGCTTTACATGTCTATATATATTGAACATTCACTTCAGGTCCCTACCAGGGGTGGACTGACAACTCATGGGGCTCCCGGGCAATAGGGGATCATGGGGCCCCTGTGTCCTTCCCAAACTCAAAAAAGCCTATGAAAAAGATACCAGGGGCATGTCATGGGGCCCCCTACTGACCCCGGGCCCTCGGGCAGTGCCCGAGTTTCCAAATGGTCAGTCCGGCCCCTGGTCCCTACTCCCTAACTCACATTCATACACATACTAGGGCAGGGGCGGACTGACAACTCATGGGGCCCCCGGCAATAGGGGATCATGGGGCCCCTGTGTCCTTGCCCAAACTCAAAAAAGCCTATGAAAAAGGTACCAGGGGCATGTCATGGGGCCCCCTACTGACCCCGGGCCCTCAGGCAGTGCCCGAAATATCAAATTGTCAGTCCGCCCCTGTACTAGGGCCAATTTAGACAGCAGCCAATTAACCTACCAGCATGTCTTTGGAGTGTGGGAGGAAACTGGAGTACCTGGAGGAAACCCACACAAGCAAAGGGAGAACATGCAGGCTCTAGGCAGGTGGTGCTGTGGTTGGGATTTGAACCAATGACCCCAGTACTGCCAGGTGGAAGTGCTGACCACTTAGCCATTGTGCTGCCCCAATAAGTACATTCTTATTGCATTATATTGCTGTGAAGAGTGTTGAATCTGAAAAGAAAAATGAAATAAAAAAGACGTTACCATAGCTCCATGCACACTGCGTTTTAATAACGCTTGCAACGTTAGCTGTGTAAAGTCACGTTAAAAACATGGATTTTTCAGCATTTATTAGCGATTTTGCATTAGAGTTTTGCCGCGTTTTTTGCATTTGCATTTTTTAGCGTTTTCAGCTTTTTTTTGCTAAAAAAAGTCCACAAACGCCGGTTTGCTGCGTTTTACTGCATTTTACTGCGTTTTTCAGCATTAGAGCATTTTTTACAGCTAAAAAACTCCTCTAGAAACCTACTAGTTCTGTTTTTTTTCCAGTCAAAAAACGTTGATTCCAGTCTGTGTGCATGGACACATAGGATGACATGCTGGGGAGTTTACTGGCTGTAGAAAAAAACGCCAAAAGCCAAAAACAGCCGCTGTAAAAACGTCCCGTGTGCAGGGGCGGACTGACAACTCACGGGGCCCCCGGGACAATAGGGGATCATGGGGCCCCTGTGTCCTTGCCCAAACTCAAAAAAGCCTATGAAAAAGGTACCAGGGGCATCTCATGGGGCCCCCTACTGACCCCGAGGGCCCGAGTTTCCAAATGGTCAGTCCGCCGCTGCCCATGTGCATGAGGACTAATTAAATGTCTTGATGAGTATGGAGACCCAAGCAGAGGAAAAGTTATCTTTCTCAATAAAACAAATGAAGAAGGAAATCTGTTATTTCAAGTTTCTTACAAGGAAAATTCCAGGCTCTTCTAATTTTCCAACTTTCTTATGAAGAAGCAAGAAAATGTCGGTCTTTTGTGTTTGGAGGATAAAGCAATTTAGCACTGAAGCTAAATATAACTCATTTACTGAGCCCACAAATGTAGACATTCAAGAGTGCAATTATCAAAATGGCTTGCACCTTTGTCTCTGTTTGTAGGGGCACAGAGTGCTGACCCCTGATCTCGCTGAAGGCAGCCTTTTGTCACACAGAGGACCTGATTCTATACAGGTGCCTGCCTCTGCCACTTAATCTGTGCACACCTGTTGCAGGGAGACAGTGGGCTTTCATCTCTTCATGTATGGGAGGCATTAATTTAGTAGAGGGGGGAGAGGCTGTTCACTTGTCAATGTGAATGTTCATTATCAAAAGTGAATGCCAGCAAATGGAAACTGCTGATGGTGAATAATCAATCACATTTGATGGAATTTAAACAAAGAAAATCAGGATTTTTACTAGCATGGCTGATTGATTGAAGAGAATACAGCTTCACCTTATTTACTAAAGTCAACAGAACAGCCTCCATGGAGCACACTGGTGACCACATAGCTCTAGTGGACCCAATTACATTGACCAGGGCTGGATTTGAACACTTCAGGTTTGCTGGGCTGCCTGGGCAGGAATTCAAATATGCTGCAAATGATCCAATTCAAACATATTTAGAACTCACCTAACAAACATGACAAGGGCAACACGACAACCCATGAATTTATATCCACTGACCACGTGAATATATGATACAAAGCCCATACATAAAATAGAAGGCAGTGTGGATTCAAAGACATAAATTTGGGGCAGTACAGTGGCTAAATAATGGTTAGCACTTTCACCTGGCAGTACTGAGGTCATTGGTTTGAATCCCAACCACAACACCACCTGCCTGGAATTTGCATGTTCTCCCTGTGCCTGCGTGGGTTTCCTCCGGGCACACCGGTTTCCTGCAGCACTTCAAAGACATGCTGGTAGGTGAATTGGCTCCTGTCTAAATTGGCCCTAGTATGTGTATGTATGAATGTAAGTTAGGGACCTTAGATTGTACACCCCTTGAGGGTTAGGGACTGATGTGAATGTACAGTATATGTAAAGCACTGCGTAAATTGACGGCGCTATATAAGTACCTGAAATAAATAAATAAAATGAAACAGAATACAGGGGTAGACCTAAACCAGGAGTCTCCAAACTATATCCCGTGGGCTATATCAGGTCTGCTACAGAATTGTATCCGATTCACAGCAACCCGGTTGGCTGGCAGTAGATGCAGCAGTCTATGGAGGTTATTGGAAGGTGTTGAAGGAGATCAGAGAAGGTAGCCTGCGAGGCTTGAGATAAAAGTTGGTAGTGAGCGCTCAGGAGGAAAGAGCAGACTGCACAAAAGGACAACCCGCTATATCCTCAAAATGATAAATGGCATAAAGGGCAGCGCTAATAATAAATCACAATAACGTCATGAAAGAAATACTTATCAAAATTAGTGACATCAGTGAATATACACAATGGTAATATAGGTGAAGCGCTCTGAAATGGCGCTATAGTGAACAATGGTAAATAAAATGTGTTGTGCTGAATGGCAGCGCAAAAGTGATCCAACAACACTGTATTGGTGACAGTAGTGAAACATCCAGCAAATATAATAGGTAAAACACAAAACGAATATATCAATATTCCAGACAAATAGTCCAATATATATTCCTGATAGCAAGTGATGGGTGACTCCGTGGCGGCATGGCGTCAGTACGAAAGGCTCCTCCCTAAGGGCATAAAGTGCCTAAGGGAGGAGCCTGTCATACTGACGTCATGCCGCCGTGTCCTTACGAAGGTCCAGTGGCCATCTTTGTGGATGTTTTTTACTCATTCAATAAATAATACTGCACCATAAGCGCTCCTTTTCTTTGTGGCTCATTTTTGTGAGCTGTTCCCTTCAAGGTGGGGCTGTTGTTTGTTTGCTGATAGTGGAATGGTCTGCTGGAGTTATCCCCTAATTCTGAGGGATGCCAGTGGTGTTTTTTCCATACTTTGCGCATTACTGTGGATGAGCCTGACCTGTGGAGGAGCTATTTAATTATTATTATTATTATTATACAGTATTTATAAAGCTCCAATAGTTCGCTCAGCGCTGTACATTACAAAGGGGGACAGAACATGTGACAGAACAATACCAATACAATGCAAAACATGAGGGGATCGAGGGCCCTGCTCTTTCGAGCTTACAATCTAGGAGGGAGGGGATGGTGGTACAGGAGGAGATAGCTGTGGGGGATGGAGTGGTAGGAAGAGTGGAGGAGGTCGACAAGTTAGCAGGGGGTGGGGTAGGCTTCCCTGAAGAGATGGGTTTTCAGGGTGCACCTAAAGGAGAGGAGAGTAGGTGATAATCTGATGGGTTGGGGCAGGGAGTTCCAGAGGATGGGTGACACCCTATAGAAGTCCTGGAGGTGGGCATGGGAGGAGGAGACCAGGGAACTAGAGAGAAGGAGGTCTTGTGAGGAGCGGAGTGTGCGTGTTGGGTGGTACTTGGATATTAGGTCAGTGATGTAGTTCGGGGCAGTATGGTGGACAGCTTTGTACGTCAGTGTTAGGATTTTGAATTTGATCCGTTGCGCAATCGGAAGCCAATGGAGGGATTGGCAGAGGGGGGTGGCGGAAACGGAGCGGTTGGAAAGGTGAATGAGTCTGGCAGCCGTATTCAGGATGGACTGAAGTGGGGATAGCCAGCGGAGAGGCAGGCCAGTGAGGAGGGAGTTGCAGTAGTCGAGTCGTGATATGATGAGGGAGTAGATGAGCTGTTTAGTGGTTTCTGGAGTTAGGAACGTGCGGATTTTGGCGATGTTGCAGAGGTGGAGTCTGCACTGCATTTAATATGCGCTTCTGGTGAGTGCATTCAACAGAAGTATTTCATCACAGAGTCACCCATCACTTGCTATCATGATATATATATTGGACTATTTGTCTGGAATATTGATATATTCGTTTTGGGTTTTACCTATTATATTTGTTGGATGTTTCACTATTGCCACCAATACAGTGTTGTGGGATCACTTTTGCGCTGCCATTCAGCGCGACTCGTTTTATTTACCATTGTTCACTATAGCGCCATTTCAGAGCGCTTCACCTATATTACCATTGTGTATATTCACTAATGTCACTAATTTTGATAAATATTTCATTTATGACATTATTGTGATTTATTATTAGAGCTGCACTTTAAGCCTATGGGGCTTATTTACTACAACTGGAGAGTGCAGAATCTGGTGCAGTTCTGGATGGAAACTAATCAGCTTCCAGGTTTTATTGCCAAAGTTTAACTGAACAAGCTGAAGTTAGAAGCTGATTGGCTGCCATTCACAGCTGCGCCAGATTCCAAGTGCTCCAGTTTTCGTAAATCTATCCCCTGTGGATATCCACTGACTGCCAGCCATCCAGCTGGGACTCTGCAAGACTAGGGGAATTCTACTGGGCACTCCCAGAAGGGGGGGACTCTGAGGAGTACTACTGGATGTAAGGGGATGGAGGGGGGCCCTGCTTGGCACTTCTGGATGTAAAGGGAGAGGCTGAAGGGCACTCCTTGATGTAAGGGAGGGACTCTGCCAGGCACTCCGGGATGTAAGCGGGGGGGGGGGGACTCTGCTGGGCACTTCTGGATGACTGGGGGGACTCCTAGATGTAAGGGGGGAGGGGTGACGGTACTGGATGCTCCTTGATGTAATGGGGGGGTTCTGTGGGGTACTCCTGTATTTATGGTGAGGTTAAGGGGACCCTGTTGGCCAATCCTGGGTGTAAGGGGAGGACTCTGCTGGGCACTCCTGGATGTATAGGGGGCTCTGCTGATTATTCCTGGATGTAACAAAGGGTAAAGCTGCCAGGCACTCCTGTATGTAAGCAGAATACTCTGCCAGGCACTCCTGGATATATGGGGGGGGCTCTGCCAGGCAATCCTGGATATAAGAGGAATGCTCTGTAAGGCACCCCTGATTGCAGGGGGTGCTGTGTCAGGCACTGCTAAGGAGAGACTCTACTGGGCATGACTGAATGTAAGGCAGAGACTCTGACAAGCATGACAGCATGTAAGGGGAGACTTTTCATTCAATTAAATGTATTAATTCATTTAAATTCATTCATTTATAAAAACATTTTTTGCATGTGAATATTTATAAAATGTACAATGTGGCCCTCGTACTCAAAAGTTTGGAGCCCTCTGGTCTAAACTGATGCTGTTGACTAGACCAACCTCTATACAAAATCTCCCCGGTGATTGACTTTTCTCGCTAACTAATCAATGTTAGTTTACTTTCTCAATGACAGTCACACATTAGAGAATGTGTGACACATTGTCAATATTATTATTATTATTATACAGTATTTATATAGCACCAAAGGGTTTGCTCAGCGCTGTACAATAGCAAGGGGGACAGAACATGAGACAAGACAGTAACAATACAATACACGAGGGGTTCGAGGGCCCTGCTCTTTCGAGCTTACAATCTAGGATGAGGTCATTCACATGCACACGCCCAATTGTAGACCACCTTCTTAAGACTGGGTTCACACTAACGCGGTGCGTTTCCCGCACCACATTGCAATCGCATTGCGTACATGAGATCTGGTGTCAATGTTAAATTAATGACACCCTGAAACAGATCGTAAAATGCGTTGCGATTGCCAGAAATTCACGTATAGATAAAAATAGGGTTCTGCACCTTTTTGGTGCGGATGTGATGCGATTTGAGCCTTACAAAATGTATGGCTCAAATCGCACTGCACAGACATTGCATGTTATTCGTACAGGAAAGCGGTGTGATTCCTGTGCGCATTACATGCGGTGTCCCGCACCACATTAGTGTGGACCCAAACTTAGGGTGGAAGCACTCTATGGCCTCATGCACAATGCATTTCAAAGCATTTTTTTTTTACAATTCTAAATGTTGGTGTATAGTTTTCAATGGAGACATGCACACAGATGCGTAAACATGCAATACAACTGATACAATATACCAGAGCATGCAAAAAATCACTTCCCAAGGTAAATTTTTTTCCCATTTTCTAATTCTTATATTTTTGTCAAAGAGCCCAGGGCACTTGCCCCTTTAAATATGGGCTAATAATTAAGGCCCTTTGGGGCAGAAGCACGTAAACAGACTGCACTTTTGATGTTTTACCCTGTCTACAATAAATGTTTTTCATACAGTTCTGTTGTGGAATGCTGGATTCATTACAGAATTGCCCCTTATCAATCCAGCATTGACTGCAGGCCTGGCCGCTCTTGCATCATTCTCATATTATAGAGGAATTCTCAGGGATCGGATACATGGGGGATTTTCCTTGCCTAGCAGCATGAAAATAACCTCTTGTGAATAACCTATTCTTCTGCAATAAATTGATATTGTTCAAATCGATTTGTGAATCTCTTACTACTAAGGCTGATGTCAGATGGGCGATTCCATGGCTGGAGACAAATGGCCAGTGGCAAGATCGCTATGTGTCCCTATGAAATTGTTCCCCCTGCAGCTAGATGCAGCCAGAGATCGCTCTGTCGCTGACCTGTCTCGCTACTGAATCTCAGGCACTACTAGACAGGTAGGCAGGTGTAGGTTGACCTCCCTTCACCGGAGGCACTGTTGGAACCACCATGCAGGGAGAGTGGAGCACAAGAGGAATGCACATTCCTCTAAGCCTCTGTACATGTCATCGGGTGGACTGCTGTCCAATTGGACACTGCTGCCTCGAATGACCCCTTTGGCCATATTTAGTAACGGCATGCTAAAAATAGCACTGTATCACTGCATGTGGATAGGTCAGGGAGAAGATCTTTCTGAACCAGAAGAGTGTGTCTAGCATAGGGGGAGTTATAAAGAAGGAGGGACAGCATAGGGACTGCCAGGGCTATTGTTAGAAACCACAGGGCCCCATACAGCCAACCTGACAGCCCCCCAAAAGAGAAAAGCTGTTTACTATGCTTCAGTTATGCATAAACACAAATAATGAATACACGTGGTACCGATCACTCATAGTGTTCATTCAGGGGAAAAAGGGGCTGATAAATGTAAACATTCACTGGACCCGTCCCCCACTCTCCATCTTGAAGGACCCTATTGTGTGCTTGCAGCTGCCCGTGGGAAGGAGAGGAGGGAAGCTGGCAGCACTGCAGGGGTGGGGGCACATACTGGGCAGCAGGGGAAAATGTATGGTGCACAGGGAGGGTGATAGGTACTGAGGGGGGGGGGGGGGGGCAATTTCTGGAACTGATCCTTTGAGTGGCTCTCTCTGCAGCAGATGAAAGCAGCGGGAGGGGGAGAAGAAGCCAGCTTTGAGCTGCTGCACAGACAGCCATACAGGGGATCGGTTTCAGTAACTGCAGCCCTCCCCCCTTGCTGTGCCAATCACCCTCCATGCCCACATCCAATTCACCCAACTGCCTGGGCCCCCCTGCAGGCCTCCAGGTGCAAGAAAAATATATTTTTTAAATATATTTCAAAAATATTCTTCCCAAATATATTGAAATATATGAAATACTACACTTTTGGCTTTATTCAATATATTTATATATATATATATATATATATATATATATATATATATATATATATATATATATATATATAAACTGTATTTTGAAATGCATGTTTATATATTAAAAAATATATGAAAAAGAATTTTAAAAATACATTTTCAAATATATGTCTTTGAAAATACATTTAATCTACATTTTTGGAATGCATTTACAAATACCGGTATATGTACACATATAAGTTAAAATGACTTTTTTTATATGTAAAAAAAAAAAAAATCTGAAGAATATATTTAAAAAATATATATTTTTTAAATATATGCCTTTAGAAAATATATTTAAATTTACATTTTTTAGAATACATGTTAAAATTAGCGTAGGCCAATTAATTGTAAATATATGTCACATACTGTATATCATTTTCTTTCTAAATATATTGGAAATATATTTCTCTTCCATGTGGGCCTGGGCCCCATACAGGAGGACTGGTGGTGCCCCCTTATCCACGGCCCTGGGGACTGTTCGTTAGTAGTGCTGTGGAACCTTTTTGCTGTGGGTGCTGTCGGTCTCCATGCCTCGCTTCCTGCATGTGCCATATTATCATGCTGCCGCCAGTTCTACGTTGCATAGACTCTATTGCTGTGTATTGGAACGTTCTTAACAATGCATTTTCTGCAACCTCAACCACCGTCTGTGCCGTTCCTTCCCCCGGGGTTACCTACCACCTGCCCTCCCTCCTGCCTACATGCTAGTGACTGAAGTGACATTCTACAATTCCATAGAGACAAAAAGGCAGATTCTTAGCGACCTTTCCGCTGGCAATTTCGATAATGGGATCGCTGGAAGCAGAATCGCCAATCGGCCTAAATTATTCTGTACACAGGTGCTCAATTAAAAAGGATTGAATCAATTCTCATGTTAGTTTCCCTTTATATGGAAAAAGAAACAATTGTAACAGACTAATGCCAGCCATCGAGATATTGATCTGCCAGGAAGGAAATCATCAGATAATTCCTATTGTTTTATAATCTGGAGCCGTGTGTATTCCCCTGTGGGCAGTTCATTAGATGAGGATGATCCATGGACATGCATGTTGATAAGGAACAAAGATCTGGAGGTCTGATCATTCCTGAAAGCGATCATTTCATGTGTGAGGGAAGATCTTGGTGTTTTAGAACAGAAAGAAAAGTGGAAACTGCTTCTACTTTGTAAATGCATACCCCTGCTGAATAACCAGCAGCGCAAAATCAGTGTTTTGAAATGTTTTATTTAAATCCTCACTTCCAGACAGGGGCAGACTGACAACTCATGGGGCCCCTGGGCAATAAGGGATCATGGGACCCCTGTATCCTTGCCCAAACTCAAAAAAGCCTATGAAAAAGGTACCAGGAGCATCTCATGGGGCCCCCTACTGACCCTGGGCCCTCGAGCAGTGCCCGAGTTTCCAAATGGTCAGTCCGCCCCTGCTTCCAGCTAATGCTCCAAACAGTTCAAGATGGCGGCTCTCAGAATGAATATGGTATTACACTGCAATTTAAAGTGGTATTAAACCCAAAACCAAACATGTAATATATTGCAGCTTACCAAACAGTAGATGTGGTGGCTGCATTAGTTCTCTTTTCACCTGGTGATCTAGCCACCTCCTGTGTTAGAGAGCCTCCACAGTGGATGAAAGCGCACAGGGGGCACAGCAAACAACAGCATTGTCAGTCTGAGGGGAAGGGAGCATTAGATGGACTAGCAGATTTAAATACACTAACAAACTGAAGTCAAACTCCAGCTAATACTTTATAAGCAGCTACAGCAAACAGTTTCTGATTTTGGAATAAAGGTTTTACATAAATAAAAGTTGATCATTGTAAGCACTCCTAGTGTAAAATGGTTTGCCTCATCTTTTGGTCAGCACGGTGTCTAAATGGTTAGCACCAGGGCGGACTGACAACTCATGGGGCCCCCGTGCAATAGGGGATCATGGGGCCCCTGTGTCCTTGCCCAAACTCAAAAAAGCCTATGAAAAAGGTACCAGGGGCATCTCATTGGGCCCCCTACTGACCCTGGGCCCTCGGGCAGTGCCCGAGTTTCCAAATGGTCAGTCTGCCCCTGGTTAGCACTTCTGTCTGGCAGTACTAGAGTCATTTGAATCCCAACCATGGCACCACCTGCCTGGAGTTTGCATGTTCTCCCTGTGCCTGTGTGGGTTTCCTCTAGGTACTCCAGTTTCCTCCCACATTCCAAAGACATGCTGAAAGGTGAATTGGCTCCTTTCTAAATTGGCCCTGGTATGTGTATGTGAGTTAGAAACCTTAGATTGTACACCCCTTGAGGGTTAGGGACTGATGTGAATGTACAATATATATGTAAAGCGCTGCATAAATTGACGCCGCTATATAAGTATCTAAAATAAATAAATCTTTGCAACTGATACATTCTACTGGAGAGCTTATTCTTTTGAAAAACAACAGACCTATTTACCAGATCAGATGTAAATAGTAGAAAGAAAGCCTAAAAATGAAAAATGAGTGCAGCCATCACATCTAAGAATTGTTAAGCCGCAATATAATAAATGATTGCTTTTGGGTTTAATGCTACTTGAATCCAGAAGCTAACAGCATTGACTACAACACTGCACACTGTACCTATCTAGAGATTTGCTGCATATCAGAAGCAATTTTGATTGATAGATTCCATTTAAAGGAACTCACTACGGAATTGAAGATGCTGTCATTGCTGAGATCTCCAGCTGGAAATGATATTTAGTCCGGTGATCCAATGGTTTGTGATACCTTCTAAGGTTCCCACCTAGAACAAGTATGTAGATCAGGAGCTCTGACATCACTCTGATTTTGTACTCTGCTTGATTATTCCTGCATAGAAAATATAAAGCCAGAAATGGCCAGGCAATTAGTATTTTCAGAAGGAGGACAGTAATGGCAGCCCCATGTTTTCTGTCCGGACAGTTTTCCTGTAAAGCACATGTACCGCGAACAATGGACTTCTCTTACCTGCTTCCTTTTAGTCTGTTAGACTATAAGTGAACCCTTGCCTATAAATGACCCAATCAGTTTAAACTAGAAATGCAAGGCAAACAATTTGTGTATAGATATGAACAACATTATAAATATTTTTTCCCTATATTTATTAGTGACCAATAGCCTCTGTTCTCAGCTGCATAAGGGGCATAGAGAGCTGGGAGACTGCAGTGGGGTATGTCAGCAGCAGCCAGAGAAAAACAGCAGCACACTGATCTTCCCAGTGTAGACATGTGCAGGGGGACATGCCAGCACAAGTCCAACCATTGGAGGACAGACAGGCTATGCTCCCATGTAGAATGCAAAGAAGAAAACTGACCACACTGGGATAGGTGAGCTTCCATGTCTGGTGTGGTCAGTTTGAAATAGGAAAGCAGGGGGATTGGCAGGATCACCAGAAATGTCACACAAAGGAAGCAATACAAAGAAAACAGGATACTTTTTCATATAAGTACATGGTACAGCAGGCACATATCAGGAATGTGAAATGTTGGGACAACACACATATACCAATGAAAGTGTTTAATTATATCTGTTCAATAAGTGCAAAAAATCATGCAGCAAAAAATCTTGTGAGCTAATACCTTCCTGTACTCTCTGCCGCCGCTGGACTATTATTTATTTCAGGTACTTATATAGCGCTGTCAATTTATGCAGCGCTTTACATATATATTGTTCATTCACATCAGTCCCTAACCTACATTCATACACATACAAGGTCAATTTAGACAGGATCCAATTAATCTACCAGCATGTCTTTGGAATGTAGAAAACTGAGGAAACTGAAGTGCCTAGAGGAAATCCATGCAGGCACAGGGAGAACATGCAAACTCCAGGCAGGTGGTGCTGTGGTTGAGATTTGAACCAGTGACCCTAGTACTGCCAGGCGGAAGTGCTGACCATTTATCCACTGTGCTGTCCACATTATCTATTATCAATGAGTATTTTTCCCTTCTATTTCCTTGGACTACAGAACACAACACCCTGTTATAGAGAAGAGAAGGAGGTGGAATGCAGTCCTAACATACTCCCTGTCCTAGGATGACAGCACAGCTTAGTACAGTTGTCACCCTAGGACAGAAAGTGGGCTAATGGCACAATCATTGTTAAGTTATATAAAATCCTGCTTTAGGCGGAAGCCCTAAGATTCCTAATCTGGCCACACACGGATCGACTTTTGGATGCTTCCCTCTGCATCAGCCAAGAATTTCTCCCTGGGTAGTCCTGTTGGTGCCACTTGGCTCAGCCAAAGTGGATTGAAAAGTTGATTGAAGTTGGCCAAACTGCTTGCATCTCATCAGAGTCAGCTGCTGTTTGGGAATTCTTACTGCTGTGGGTGCTGACTCTCAGAATACCATAGCGGGCACTGCAGGCTCATCTATCCACGCTGTTTAGCCGCAGAGCTCAGAGAGAAATCTTATCATTTCCTTCTCAGTAAAGGTCAGCCTATGCATTGGTGAACACGCAGAGCTGGTTGGTGAGAAATGGGGCAGGTGTAGAGTTATTATGCGCAATTCTGGCTTTCCAGTTAAAAAGAAAATCTCCCGGCTACATAAATCAGCCTGGAAGACTTTTGCTCCCTAAAGAAGTGAAATCCAATTGGCCAATCTGGGCAATATCTTCATTTTTACTCCAGTTTTCCTCAATCATTGGGGTTGATTTACCAAAGGCAAATAGACTGTGTACTTTACACGAGCTTAGTAAATGAGGGGAAGTTCTGCTGATTTCCAGCATCCAATCATGTGCAAGTAAAATGCTGTTTTTTTTTTAAATTTTCCTTGCATATTATTGGGTATTCTTTGTAAAATGAAGCTTTATCTCATTTACTAAGCTCTGGAGCTACTGCACTTGAAAAATGCACAGTCTATTTTCCTTTAGGGCCAGTTCACACTATAGAAACGCAGTTGAGATGCATTCCGTATGTGTTTTTTCATGTGAGTTTTTGCCGCATTCTGGTGCATTTTTTATGTGTTTATGATGCGTTCCGATGCATTTTTTATGCATTCCAATTCATTTTTTCCCTTCTCTTTTCCTTTAATTTAATTAGGGACATGTGCGTTCCAGTGCGTTTTTTGGTGCTTTCCGGTGTGTTTTTGATGCATTTTACCGCATTCCAGTACAGTTCTGTGCAGAAAAAAATGCATCATGTTCTACTTTTTTTTCTGCAACTGGAATTCAGTGGAACTGCAAGCACTGATGTGCACTATGACATTGACCACCATATAACCTACTTTCTGTGCATTTTGGATGCAGAAAAAAAGTAACTGAAAGGCATGGAGTGTGAACTGGCCCTTAGTAAATCAACCCCATAGTCTGCAACTAAAGCTTAGAGCTATTAACAAGTATTATTATTATTTCGGGTACTATATATATATTGTACATTCAGATCAGTCCCTAACCCTCAAAGGACATACAATCTAAGGTCCCTAACTTACATTCATATATACACATATTATGGCCAATTTAGAAAGGATCTAATTAACCTACCAGCATGTCTTTGGAGTGTGGAAGGAAACTGGAGTACCCGGAGGAAATCTATGCAGGCACAGGGAGAACATGCAAACTCCAGGCAGGTGGTGTCATGGTTTGGATTCGAATCAACAACCCTAGTACTGCCAGGAGAAAGTGCTAACCATTTAACCACTGTTAAAGCAGGAAAGAATTGGAAGGATTTACTAAAAGAGTTGTGAATCTTCACTTTAAAAAATTGGTAAGGGCTTTTTGATTGCTTTTGTCCCCTATCACCATGATCTGTATGGCTATACTGTCCCATTAGATCCCAAGACCTACTCCATAGCAGCCGATGGTTTGGAAATGAAATTGATTCCACATTCTGCACTGATGATGATAAATAGCCTGAAACAACTCTATTAAGCCTAGCACACACTATGAGAAAATTGGACGAACAATTGTTCTATTTTCCACTAAGGTGCGTAACTGACAATGGTTTTAACTTGTATGAAAATATTTGACCAACGTAGGCAAACATAGCATAGCATAGTAGAAAACGCAAGTGTATGGTGGTGCTTTGCTTCCAATCATGCGCAATTTGATTATTTGTATATGATTTCTGTACACATTGAACAAACATTTAATGTTGTGTTCATGTACAATAAAGATGATCTAGCTTGCACCTTCGTTTTTCTAATTTGAACAATCGTAATCAGCTGTCGAAAACACTATACCAGTTATCAAAGAATCAATCGATTGTTCCTCAAACAGAAATTTTCATACATTTTCCTTACCTGGCCTTAAGGCTGTATTTGCCGTATGACCGGCGGTTCTGGGGGTTTGTCTGGCTGATGCGGCATAATGGCTCTGTCCACTCTTCTGAAATTAGAGCTAATCCTCTCAATTTTGGGATATGTGATGAAATGAGACATGTCAATTCCTTCTGTTTTAAGAAAGCTGTACTGTGCTGTGCACTGATTCAGTTGGAGAACTTTTTGATTGCTTTAGTCCCCTCTCGCCATGATCTGTATAGTTATCCTGTCCCTTTATGTCTCTATAGAAGCCATTGTTAACATGGCCAACAAGCCTTAACCAATGAATGCTCCAAAACGTTTTACCCCCTTCAAGGGGTTTGTTTACTATTTAGCACTGCGCTACTTTAACTGGCAATTACTCGGTCATGCAACACTGTGCCCAAATTAAATTTATATCATTTTTTTTTACACAAATAGAGCTTTTTTTTTGTGGTATTTTATCACCACTGTTTGTTTTTTATTACATAAACGAAAAAAAAGACCAAACATTTAGTCCTCGTGCACACTGGACGTTTTGATAACGCTGGTAACGTTAGCTGTGTAAAGTCCCGTTAAAAATGTGAGTTTTTCAGCTCTTTTAGCATTTTGTTTGCATTAGCGTTTAGCATCGTTTTGCCATGTTTTCCCATGTTTGCATTTGTTAGTGTTTTTTTTTACCAAAAAAAATATTTTTGGGTCAAAAAAAAATCTAAAAACACCGCTTTGTGGCGTTTTACTGTGTTTTGCCGCGTTTTCAGTGTTTTTCAGCGTTAGAGCATTTTTACAGCTAAAAAACTCCTCTAGAAACCCACTAGTCCTGGATTATTTTCCAGTCAATAAACATTGATTACAGTCTATGTGTACATGGACACATAGGATAACATGTTGGGGGGGTTACTAGGTGTAGAAAAAAAAGTCGAAAGCCAAAAACAGTAGCTGTAAAAATGTCAAGTGTATCTTTACTTCCTGCTAAAAAACACATCCAATAAAAATTTTAAAAATCTAATTTCCTTATAAATTTAGGCCAAAATGTATGCTGTTACATATCTTTGGTAAAAAAAAAAAAAATCCCATTCAGTGTGTATTAATTGGTTTGTGTGGAAGTTATAATATCTACAAATGGTGGTAAATACATACACTGAATTTTTTTTTTCTTTTACCAGTAATAGCGGTGATCAGCAACTTATAGTGGGACCGTGATAGTGCGGCAGGCAATCTGACACTAACTGGCGCTGGGTGGGAACTGACTAACTGATACTGACATCACCAGTGACACTAATACAGTGATCATTGATAATACTATACACTGGCCCTCCCAACCCTCTTGTATTGAACTGTATTGTTGCTGTACTGTCTCCCATTATATTGTAAAGCGCTGAGCAAACTGTTGGCGCTATATAAAATCCTGTATAATAATAATAATAATACACTGTCACTGTACTAATGACACTGGCTGGAAAGGGGTTAACATCTAGGGGCAATCAAAGGGTTAATTGTGTGCCTACCAATGTGTAATGTGTGTAATATGTGCTGCTTTTTAACCTCCCTAGCGGTCTGATTATGTCCATATTTCTGTGCTGAAAGAGGTACTTTTTTGCATGGAAATATGTATTTTTTTTTTATTGTAGGCCTGTAATTTTTAGGAATAACTCACTGAAATCTGTCTGAACAAGAGGCTAGTAAACATCCCGGGTATGTTAAAATTTGAAACACGGAATCATAAATTATAATTTAACAAATAATCATAAAAAATAATAATATAAAAATAAATTTAATTCAATAATATAATCAAACCAAAAACACTGAAATTTGAAATAGAGCGCCAAGTTCGCACATCACTGAGCTCAGTCGCAAAATCGTTTTCAGTATCTGATGACGAATTTCCCCACGAATCATTATCACTCAATTCTGCAAGTGGTTCTAATTTACTATCGCTGTTCTCTAGCCGGTCTAAAACCGCTTTTGACATAAAGGGACGCTTTTTGGATGCCATGTACATTTCTCAGTTTCTAGGCAGAAAGAACAGTAAAAATGCAGGCAGGGCACAGGACAAAGCACTCGGGACAAAATGTATGTGAAATGGTTTGATACAGTAATGTTATACTATGTGATTTTAGTGTATTTAGTGAATGTCACTTTTACAACTTTCAAATTTCCCGCCAGTTCCGTCCCCCGTACGTCCCGACATCGCAGGGAATGGAACCCAGAAGACAGATGCCGGCATCCGCCGGAGGACATTACAGGGGACACTGCAGGGGGGACATCGCGGGTGAGCGCAGGACAAGGTAAGTGAAGAAGAGATCCCGGAGCAACGCTGCAGTGTATTCCTGAGTGTAGCTCGGGGTTACCGCTTGTGGTGCTGAAACTTTACCCCAATCTACACTCGGGAATACCGCCAGGGGGGTTAAGAGATGTGACTGTTTTATCTCCCTGCTTTGCATGGAAAAAAACAGCCACTTCTGTGCTCTGTGTACAGAGTCCTGTGCTGTTAGTAAACACAGGGCTCTGTACTGTGATTTCCTAAGCCAATCAGCAGGTCCCAGCCATAAATCATTAGCTGACCGACTTGTACTATACTGAATCACAGCACAGATGGGGCGGGGGCAGGGGTGGACTGACAAACTCATGGGGCCCCCGGGCAATAGGGGATCATGGGGCCCCTGTGTCCTCACCCACACTCAAACCACACCCAAAAAAAGCCTATGAAAGGTACCAGGGGCATCTCATGGGGCCCCTACTGACCCCGGGCCCTCGGGCAGTGCCCGAGTTCCCCAATGCTCAGTCTGCCCCTGGCTGTGTGGTATAAGAGCCTGTCTGACTGAAGACGGATTGATTGGATAGATTAGGTAGGTCCAGGGGCAGACTGACCATTTGGAAACTCAGGCACTGCCCGAGGGCCCGGGGTCAGTTGGGGGCCCCATGAGATGCCCCTGGTACCTTTTTCATAGGCTTTTTTGAGTTTGGGCAAAGACACAGGGGCCCGAAGATCCCCTATTGCCTGGGGGCCCCATGAGATGTCAGTCCGCCCCTGGGTAAGTCCTAATATTACATCATTTTGATAAATCAGAAATTGATTGTACAGAGATTGTATGGTCAGATTGTAACAGTTTTTATAGCGAGTCTATGCCTGACTATGCACTATACAATTTGTTTGTACAATCTCCTTTAGACATACCATCAACTATAGAGAGCAATGGCCTGCCTGGTTTGAAATACATTTGAATGGATTGTTTAGGTGTGTACTTTTGGTAACATTTTGGGAAGTGTCAGGAAAACTGTTAACAGTTTGTACAATCAAATTGAATAGTGTAAAGCTTTAGCTGGATCATACTCTATACAGTCTGGTTATACAAATTCCTTTGGATTGACCATGAACTATGTACTATAAGGGCCTAGCTGATTTGACACTTATTCAAAACATTGTTCAGTTTTGTCTTCATATCACATATTGTGGTAGAAGAGATTGTACAGAGATTGTACTCTCAGATTGCATAGTGTATGGCTGGCGTAACCAGTTTGGAAACAATTAATTATCAGCATAAATAAATTAGTATTACATACGCGACTCAGTGGTTTTGTTAAAAGTGCACTGATGCGTCTACAATCACTTTCTGGTGGTTGGTAAAGTTTGCATGTGCCTATTTATGGTGAATTGTAAATTCATATTTTACAGAAACAGTTGCAATTTGCCAGATTTTTCAGAACCTATTTTTCTCATTGATTTTCGCATCGCCTGTTTTGTGCGTCAATCGTCTCATGAGGCAGCTAATATTATTTTAGGAGGGTGAAGACGAGTCGTGTGCGCAGAGTTCAATGGCAGTCAAGGATTGCAGGCACCCGGGTTATGAACCTTCCATCACATGTCTGCTCAATGAACCCATAAGCAGCTTCTGGGGGGGGAATATCACCTTTAGCACAGGCAGAACAAAACACTTTTTATCCCAGGCTGGGCTGCACAAAACCCCAGCGCTGCTACACGTTAAGTAAATATTTAATTCAATGAAGGCTGGGGTGTGTTTTCCTGGCATAAATTGCTCTCTCCATGTCATCTAGTAGGGGGAATGTCAATATTTTGGCCAGTTTATGAGCCCTTTCTACTCTGTGTGTTCCTGGAACTCTCTGGACTCATGCAAGGAACTGCTGATGGCTCTACCTGCTTTCTGTAAATCAAACCAGAACCAGCTATTAGGTCCTAATGCCTAAAGAATTATTTCACCATCACAAAAATAGAGCATTGGTTGTTTCACAGCAATAAAAAAAATGGCAATATCAACTGTAGACAAACATGCAATGAGAAATTTAAAAAGAACATTATTTGTTCTTAAGAAGAGCTTACAGACCAGTATACCTTTTTGGGGTGTATGCAATTTATTTTATTGTATCTATTTTATTAATTATTTATATTATGTATAAGATTATTTATTTTAATTTTTTTTATTTAAGAATATTTATTTTATTTTTTTTATTATTATATATTATTTATTTTTTTTTTTATATTATTTTTTTTATTTTATTATTTTTATTTTATTTACAAGATTATTTATTTTATTTTTTATTTTTATTGTGTATAATAATTATTTTTATTGTATTGTATTAAATTTTATTTTTATGTATAAGATTTTATTTTTTTTTATTTTTTTTATTTTTTATATTATGGATTATATTTTTTATTTTTGTATTTTTTTTTTTTACTATAAGATTGTTTATTTTATGTATTATTTATATTATGGATATTTTTTTTTTTATTTTATTTATTTTTTTTTTTATATTATGTTTAATTATTATTTTTTTTTTTGTTTTTTTATATTATTTATAATTTTATTTTTTATTTTTTTTTTACGATTTTTTACTTTTTTTTTTTTTATTTTTTATTTTAATTTTTTTTTATGTATTTTTTTTTATTATTTATAATATTTTTTTATTTTTAATTTTTATTTTATTTTTTATATAATTTTTTTTATTTTTTTATTTTTTTTTTTATGTATAAGATTATTTATTTTTTTATTATTTTTTTTATTTTTTAAATTTTTATTTTTTATTTTTTAATTTAATATTATTTATAATTTATTTTTTTTGTTTATTTTTTATTATTTAAATTTATTTATTTTTTTTTTTATTTATGTATAAGATTGTTTTTTTATGTATTATTTTTATTTAAGATTTTTTTATTTTTTTTATATTTTTTTTTTATTTATAAAATTATTTTTATATTTTTTTTATTTTTGTATAAGATTATTTATTTTTTTAGTTTTTTAAATTTTTTTTTATTATTTTTTTTATATTTTTTTTTTTTTTTTTTGTATTTTTTTTTTATTATAAATATTTTTTTTATTATTTTTATTATTATTTAAAATTTTTTTTTTTTTATTTATATTTTATTATTATAAATTTATTTATTTTTGTTTTTAAATTTTTTTATTTTAAATTTTTTATTTTGGTTGGAGGTTATAAAAATTTATTTTTTTTTTTTTCTTTTAATTATTCCCAAGTTTTTGAATTTGAATGGTTTTATTTTTTTATTATAGAAGTCTATTCCAAGCATCAACTACTTTTTTAAAATAAAACTTAATAAGATTATTTTTTGGGGGGTTTTTTTTTTTTATTTTTATTTATTTTTTTTTTTTTTGTATTTATTTAAGTTTTTTTTTTTATTTTAAATTTTTTTTTTTTTTTTTAAAAGAATAAAAATCATTTTTTTGTAATATTTTAATTTTTTTTATTGTATTGTTTTTTTATTTATTGTATTTATTTTAATTTAAATTTTATGGAATTATATTTTTTTTTTCAAACGGTTTTTTTAATTTTTGATCATGTACCTTTTAAATTTTTTTTTTTTTTTTTTTAATAATCAATAGAATCTATTTTTCAAATAATATGTTTTTTTTTTTTTTTTTTTTTTTTTTTTTTGTTTTTTTTTTTAGCTTTTTTTTAATTCGATTTTTAACAGTTCTTTTTTTTAATTTTTTATTGTGATTTTATTTTTTAGGATTTTTTCATTTTTTTTTTTGTGAGAGGTGTAAGATAATGTGTAGCAACAGTTTTAAAGAACCACAAGTTTTTAGCATGCTTTCCATAACCCACACGATTGTTATTTCTGATTTTTGTTTTTTTTTTTATTTTTGTTTTTTTTTTTTTTTTTTTTTAAGTTTTTTTTGTTTTCCAAAGCCTCGATTTTAAAGTATTTATTTTTTTTTTTTATGTAGAATTGTGAGAAGTTTACACATTTGTGTTTTTTTATACAGGCAACAGCCCCAGGGGTAAAAGCACCACAAGTCCCAACATTTTTTCAACTTGCACGATCTCTGCAAAGCTTTTAGTAGCAGACAGATTTTGCTGTGCGATTTTACTAAAAAAACGGCGGACACGATGTTTTTCTGTCCTATACAGTAGAAATCACAGCGATTTTAGATGAATTTACTGCAAGAGGAAAACACGGATTTGCTTAGCGTTAATTTTATTAGGATTTTTATGCCCTTTTAGTTATTTATTTTATGTTTAGAAGAACCAGAATAAAAAGAAAAAGGGAAAAAATAATACAGATTTTTTTTTTTTTCCGAACTCATAGTTCCACCTTTTTTAGTTTTTTTAAACAAACGTTTTTTTTTTTTATTTTTTTTTTTTTTTCAGCAGGGGCAGGCAGGCGTTACGTATTCGGGCTTTAAACCACGGCGGTTTTTTTTTTAAAAAAAAAATTTTTTTTAGCAGCACATCGCTATTTTCAATATTTTTTTTTTTTTTTTATGGATGTCGTTAGGAGACCACAGGCTCATTATACAATTGATTTACATTTTTGTTAAATATTGTTTTTTAAATGTTTATTATATCATTTTTTCCTTTACAATTTTTTTTTTTTTTGAAACAGGCAACTGTTTTTTTTTTTTTTTTTTTCGGGTTTAATTTTGTTAAAAAAATTTATTTTATTGATTTTTGGAGTGGAATAATAGTTTTTAAAAACTTCAGAAAATGGAACTTTTTAGAAAAAAAATTTTTTGTTTTAATTTTTTTTTTTTTTTTTTTATTTTTTTTTTTCTTTTTTGCTGTACCCTATACATGGTTTTATTGTTTTATTATGTGACAATTTTTTATTAGCTTTTTTTTGTTTTAGATAACATTTTTATTACTGTTTTTTGCTTTATGTATCATGCACCCAGCACAACTTTTTTTAATTGTTTATTTTTTTTTATTTATTTTTAATTGTTTATATTTTATTTAGTTTTTTTTTGCATTTTTTAATGTTTGATTTTTATTTTGAAGGTTTTAAACTTTTGACTGCTACCATTTTTATTTTTATGTTATTTTTTTTTTTTTTTGTTATTTTTATTTTTTTTTTTTTTAAAATTTGGTTAATCTTATAAATGTTTTTTAATTTTTATTTTTTTATATATTATATATATTTTTATTATTTTCAAAATTTTTTATATTTTAACACAGTGACATTTTTAGTATTTTTTTTTTTTATTTAGAATAAGGCCTTATTTAAAATAGCTTTTTTTATTACTAAGTATTTTTTTATATTTATTTATTTTATATATTTTATTTTATATATATTTTTATATATATATTTTATATATTGTATTTTTTTTTAAGGAGGTAATTTTTTTTATAATATTTTTTTACTGCCAAAAAAATTTTGGCAATATTTTTTTAGTAAAAAGGCAATCTATAATTAAATATAAAATAATTTATTTTATTATATATATATATATATTTATATAAATATTTTATTTTTTAAATATTTTTATGTGTGTGTTTAATATATTTAATAAATTATATATTAAATTTATATATTAATAAATAAAAAAAAATAAAAAATAAAAATAAAATTTTAATAAAAAATTATTTTATATATATTATATTTATTTATTATTATATATATATAATTAGGGAATGCCATATATATATATTATAATATATATATATATATAATATATATATATATATTATTTTTACATTTTAAAAAAATAATTATTTTTTTTAAATATTTATAAAATTTACATTACAAATTTTTTTTTTTTATTATTAATAAGTAAAAATAAAATAATATTAAATTTAAAAGAGAAATGAATAAATATATGTTTGTTTTATATATATTTATATTTATATATTTTATTTATATATTTTTTTTTTGGGGATAATTTACTGCTGTTATAAACGGCCGAGTGTGTGTAATAAGGACAATATTTATTAGTGTCCCTCCGCTCCCAGTCATGCCGGGACTAGCTGAGCTCCAGCACGAGCTGACGTCCCCAGAGAGATCAGGAATATGTTAATATTTGTCTTCCCCCATTCCACAGTCACCCTTAATTGCTCTTTGTATCATTATGGAGAGAGGAAAAATGTCAGATTCTTTATTTCAGCTAAATAGAAACAAGGCTGTCATTTTAATGAACTGAAGGCTTGTAGATATATGTGTTTATCCATGAGAGACAAAATCATGCATGATGGATATGAAGGAAGGGGTGCAGAATATTTAGTACAATCCCACCCTTGTGAGCAATAAACCTAGAGGGACCTGGAGGAAAGCATTTTTCCACCACTTCATCCTTCTGTCTTCTTCTGTCTATCCCAGAGACACCCATCTATCTCAAAATTATCTATCGATCTATCTTCTATTTATCTATCTCTTATATCTATCTATTTATCTATCTATCTCTCATATCTATCTATCTATCTCTCATATCTATCTATCTATCTATCTATCTATCTATCTATCTATCTATCTATCTATCACATATTCTATCTTCATATCTATCTATCTATCTATCTATCTATCTATCTATCTATCTATCTATCATCATCTATCTCTCATATCTATCTATCTATCTATCTATCTATCTATCATATCTATCTATCTATCTATCTATCTATCTATCTATCTATCTATCTATCTATCTATCTATCTATCTATCTATCTATATATCTATCTATCTATCTATCTATCATATATCTATCTATCTATCTATTCTATCTCTCATATCTATCTATCTATCTATCTATCTATCTATCTATCTATCTATCTATCTATCACAATGAGTGATACATCTTATATCTATGTCTATTTTCATATTTATGCTGATTTATCAGCATATTCTTTGTCTGTTATATATCTAGTATCTATCCAATGTATCTGTAGATATTTATCTCATACTTTCATACTCCTAGGCTTTCTATCAGCGATATCTATTCATTGTCTTTTTAGTTTCCTATCTGTTAATCTATTTTATGCTTTTTTTTCTTGTTCATTTTCTGTCTGTATATATATGTATCTGTGTTTCTCTTAGTTATAACATTTCTATCAATTATCTTCATATCTATCTACTGTTTTATCTTTATTAATTTTTAAATTAGCAGTCTATTTTCCTCGTAAGTTTTTTATCTCTGCCTCTCTCTGTTTTTGATCTGTTTATTCTTGTTTTCTCCTTTCTTTTTTTCCTCTCTTTCCTCCTTTCTTTCCTGTCTTTTCTTTTTTTTTTTTCTTTCCTTTTCTTTTCCTTCCCTTCCTTCCTCTTCTTTCCTTCCTTTCATCCTTCCATCCTTCTCCTCTTTCTTTCATTTTTT